GACCCCATAGCCTTGCTAGTGCCCAGGAGTTCATCGTCAGTGCTCGTCTTAGTTCAGAGACTATTAGGGCTTCGTCGTCGGCACTTGAGCTAGTTCAGAAGCAATTAGGGGTTCATCGTCGGTGCTTCACCAGCGCTTTCCAGATATAGCAGATCCTTGTGCCACAGCCCAAACCTTCAGCCACCACAGTTCATGAGTACGGAAGTCTCCAATCGCACTCTACACCCACACACCCCCACATTTCAGCTTTCGACTGTTTCCTGGTCAGAGGCATCCATACAGTCAAGTCCGACACTCACCGATCTGAAAGTCGTGACAATCCAATCTGTTTCAGGCATCACAGCTGAATGACTCACGGCCACCCGTCACTGCATTATCATCTGAAGTTTCCTATGATCATAGCTCAAAGGGACCACGGACGGACAGAGCCACAGTTCACCTTCCACCAGTTAGGGATTTGGTTAGGGGCGCTGCTCATGGCCAGAATGCGGTTGAGCATATCAGCATGATGCAAACACTGCCAGTAGCGATTATGCCACAGAGCTTGAGCTTCCACTAGACACACCGATTGATGAATATGAGACTGCGATTGCCCCAGCCCCATGCCTTCGTAGGCCTCCCTCCTTTCGATTTCATTCCTGGCTAACTGACCTCCCTCCAGGTTCAGCCCATACCTTACCTGACACACCCGAGCCCGATGTTGAGTCTGACGCTGAAGGTGCACCTAAGGTTGTTACCATCAAGCAAGAGAAGGGCACCGCCGGGCCTTCTCGTCGTAAGTTGGTGGTTCCTCTGCCACCACGTGGTATGTTTCTCACTTTGTCATGCCTTTCACTGCTGACCGTCCTGCTAGGCCATTTAGACAGGCCTTCCAAGTGTCCTCGCTTCGACGACTCTGACCCAGATGACATTATGATGCAGCACACCCACGCCGGCACCATCATTGTTCCGTCGACCAAGGTCCTCAAGCCGCACTCGTCGAAAGGCAAATCTCATGCAAAGGGCTCCTCCAAGGCCGTGACCGTGAAGTCAGAGCTGATTCGCGCTCCGCCAACCGTCATCGAGCCTTCTGCAGCCAGTACACAACTCGAGCAGATGATTGAGCTTTCATAACAGCTCCTCGAGGAGAACCGTGCCTTGAGGGCTCACAAGTCATGACTTCGTCGGTGCACTGGGCTTGGGCTGGAGGATGCAAAGCGGGCCATCTGCATATTTCTTCACATCTCTTTTGTGATCTCTCCCTTCACACGTGCGGAGCAAATGTATTAGTTAGTCGTCTTGAATAAACTGTGTGCTGAAAAGCCTTGTGCGATCTTGCCTGACCAAAATATTAAGAGATTTGC